ACCCACAACTAGTGAAAGACAAACTGCTTGTTCGTGGAGTTGGCGTCAGCAGGTGATGGGGTGGTGTTTGCACACTGTGATCCCATACACATCAGGGACGTCACCTTTTACATACACGAGACTGTCGGCCTGGAGGGAGTAGCGTGGGTAGAACAATTCCTTATAAGGAAACTGGAGTAAGGAAGAATGTCGCACACGGGTGTTCGATTGGATTGTGGGCCCAGAGGGGTTAATTCAGACATTTGTTGTTTTTTGGTTTCTGTGCTGATTGTATGTATTGAATGTATGTATTGAATGTACTTTAGTGGAAGTTATTGGACAACAGATTGTCAATACCACCTGTTTACGTAGAGGAATTTTGGGTGCATTGTAGCATGCATTGAAGAGTTAGATAATATTCATTCATTCAGGGCGGTGGGGTACTCTTGTGGTTAAAGTGTTTGCTCGTCACGATGAAGATCCGGGTTTGATTTCCCCATGGGTACAATGTGTGAATCCCATTTCTGGTGTCCCCTGCCGTGATATTGCTGGAATATTGATAAAATTGGCGTACAAACTCACTCACTCACCCACTCACTCACTCACTCAAATATGCTCATGTTATGTCTAAGCTTCTGTTGCTGCTAATGTTTAGCTACCTTTATCTGATCATGAGAGTTGGGGAGGCACACCATTTCATTTTAAAGACTTCTCATTACACCATTTAAACACACCAGTCTTTGAGCACTCAGTAGTCAATAGGCAGGCACACAGGTAGAACTGTGCCCTGGTAACCTGTGCTTGTTGAAAGAGTCTTGTAAGGAGAATCAAGTGGGTATTGATTGATCAGGCTCTATGTTGAGAGGGGATTCTGTATTTAAGCCTGGTGGTGGTTATACAGATATGTACATGCCGAGACTCTCGCTTCCCCTTTCAGTGCAAGACATGCCAGGGAAATAATGTTTCTGTGCTCATTAACAGCTTACAAGGCGTTAGGTTTCAGGGATATCAAGTTAAAATGTCTGAATGAATTGCCCAGAGTACATGTTTGAATCTGAAACCTCTAAGTGAGTCAAGTGCACAGAACAGCTATTTTTATGAAGTGTTAATGAACTGCCTGACCAAGAGTGGGAGTCAATGAAAAACATATAAAAGTCAAACATCAATGGTTGAATACAAATTATTTGAGTTCAGTTAAAAAATATCAGTCAAGCACATTATCACTGCATGGTGATGTGTGGTTTCATATTCTCATCCCATGGCGTAATGAAGAGACAATAAAAGGGACTGGACGATATTGTTGTTGAAGAAATCTTGCATCCATTCGAACAAAAAGCCACATAAGAGAGTGAGTGAGTTAAAATTTACATAGCATTGGCATTATTTCAGCCTTATAGCGACAAGTCCCATATAAGAGAAATAGAATTGTAACATTTATTGGGCAATCAAACTCAGGACCTGTGGCCGACAACTTCTTGACCTAACCCTAACCCTTTAAGCCCTTTCCACTAGGTACCCGGTATCTCTTATATTCTAACAGAGCCAGGTCAATCGTCATAATTTGTTCATATAAAAAAAGTCCATTTTTCTAAGTTCACAATACTATTATTGTACAAAAATACTTTCTGCTGACTTCAAACCTGATCTATATTAATATATATATATATATATGAGTAAACTTGTAAAAAGATGCAGTGTTAAAACCCAACAAGACAATCGGGCAGGCGATTCATAAGTTTTGCCTGCCCATCTTCAAAGTTACCTGCCTGGCATTTAATTTTTTTGAAAAATCGCAAAAACTAAGAGACAAATTATGTCTTGATTCAGTTGAAATAATGCAAACAATTGCTTGAGAATCAATAAGGAGTTATAATAAAACTGAATATATAAGTAGTCTTAAAATTATGTGCCAGATCGTTGGGCAGGTGGCAAAATTTCGTGCAGCCAGATAGAAAGGTTTCTAGACACAGACAGGCAGTTACTTCAGCACTGAAAAGATGTATGTTACATAATCATGATATGTAGTATGCCAAGAGTCTATCACCCATGTACTGAGTGAATCAGGTTTCACATCTAACAATACCCTGTAAACAAACAGGGCCATTGTGAGTTGTCTCAGCTCTTCCTTCCTCCTCCCCCACACCTGTGTGTGTATTGATATCCTTTACCTATAAGCCTGGGGCAGCGTGTGGATCACATCATCGGATTCCAGGTTGAGTAATACCTCAACACCCACAGCTATTTGGCATTGATAGATGCATAACTGTAGAGTGTATGGAAGGTGATGAATCAGGCATGACTGGACTGTTACAGAATGCAGGGATCCCAGTGGATTAACCCATGTCCACAGCCTTCAGTATTGGCACACGACTTACCTAGCCACACCTGGATTACTCCTACATGCTATATCTCTGGTGCAACAACAAACAGATCATCTCAATATTTTTTTGGGGATAATCCATGAATATGTTTCTATTTTTGCAGTTTGTGTGAGGGTGAGTGTGAGTGAGTGAGTGAGTGTGTGTGGGTGAGTTGCTCACACACACACACACACACACACACACACACACACACACACACACACACACACACACACACACACACACACACACACACACACACACACACACACACTAGTATCTACGGCCGATGTCTGTAATAAAAACAACTCCACAAAGATAAACCGAAAAGAGAGAAGGTTATGTTAAGGAGTGTTTTGAAAATCTTCCCATGTTGTCTTGTGTGGCTTTAAGTCAATACAAATGCATTACATTCTCAGAGGGTGGTCTCTCCTCAAATGAGTTAAGACCAACACAACATCACTAATCTAGACTCCCAGAAGCTCCTTGTCAGACATCACTAATCTAGACTTCAAGTAGCTCCTTGTCAGGCAGTAGGTGTTGCACTTCTTCTAGACTCTTACTAGGTGACCTTGACCTTGTAACAATGAGGTAAAAGTAACGAGCGATGATAAGCCTATTCAGTTCCTAGAAACATGTCTGGGTGTAGGAAACTTGACAGCAAGTCAAGGCAATGTCACATAAAAATCTAAAATAAGGCTTCAGGTAACATGTTGTGTTTGTTATTGCAATGTGTGAAGGAAGAAGGCGATAATACAACACAGTCCAGTCCATGGGATTGGGGGGGGGGGGGGGATCGGGTAGCCTAGTGGTTAAAGCGTTCACTCGTCACGCTGAAGACCCGGGTTCGATCCCCGACATGGGTACAATGTGCGAAGCCCATTTCTGGTGTCCCCCGCCGTGATATTGCTGGAATATTGCTAAAAGCGACGTAAAACCATACTCGGTCAGTCAGCCATGGGATGGGGCTTTATTGTTGTTTCATAGCACGGGCATAAACACCGATTCCTGTTTCTTGGACTATATTCATTAATCATTCATCAGTTGATTAATTAACCAGTTACTTTGGCCATCTGTTCCACTGCTTAGCCATGACGGATTCACTCGATACTCAGGTGTACAGTTCTCACCTATCTCATCTGCGATGCAGGTAACACTTAATCAGTATGTTGGAGTTTCCTGGCTTAGCACCATATTTACAAGGACTATTTACTGGTTGCATAAATATACAACCCGCTTCTATTTCCACCTCTCTGATATTGATACCAGCTACCCACTGTGTATGATGAATGCTGCACAGCTCAGCAAATATTGGCTCGGAATGTACATGCGACAGTGCACTATATTCTGCACAACTGATCATAGATACAGGATTTGTAGGGAGACTTCATGTAGTGCCATGTGTTCATATTTGAAGTGTAATATAAAAATGCTTGTTTATTCACAGCTTGTAGATGTGACTAAACAAACATTCCTGTTAATGATGTGTCTGGTTTTGTTATTACCCTATATGCATGTTCAACTGCAAAACTAGGATTCGGGGTAGACTTACACAAGTCTCTTAGCAAATGATTATTGATTGAAATTATAATTCCTGGATCAAATAAATAATAAGAACAAGTTGCCCCTATACGACTGGAAGCCTTATGTGAACTTGCCTGATATAAGGATAAAATTACTTCACATCCATGGATTTATACACTGCAGCATTTGAGCAAGGCTAGATTCTGGGTTTTGACTTTGGCAATATTCTGTCTCTGTATAAAGATTACAGCTCAACATGCAGAATAGTATGCTGATGACCACTTCTGATATTTATTAAACATATTATGGAAAATGCACCTGAGGTGTCAAGTTGACATTTTGAACATGCTGTGTCTACCTGCCCTTGCTCCGGGTTATATGTATATTTACATATCAACGGGGGTCAAATTTGTTGGTTGTGGTGCTCTGAACTGTTAATGTGGTGCCTTATCTGAGGGTGGTGGTAGATACTGCATGCTGGGTGGACCTGGAGGATAGCACCCCTACATCAGCACCCCTACATCAGCAACACTCTGCTCATCAAGTGTGTGGAGGAGTTGGCTCATGATAAGCCCTGATTTACTGGGTCCTGTATGACTTTAATGTGTGGAAGATAGATGTTATTTCCCAGCTCCCTGACTGGTTGTTGTCCAGTGATTCTATATCAGATGTGTGGTCAAGATGAAATAAAGACTGACCCGATCACTCTGAACATTATATCATCAAATGTTCATTCACACTACAGAAACAATTAAGCGAGTGATTTGACATGTTGAACTTCCCAGCTATTCCACAGCAGCTTGTAAATAATTGCCTCTGGGTCATGCAAACTATTGTTTAATGAGGAATTATCCACACCATTAGGTCCATCTAGTCTCAATCGGCACTGTTGTTAAAGATGGAAAGTTGACTCATTGTCAATCATCAACAACATGGGCCTGTGTTTGCTTGATGCGACAAATTGGTTGTCCTTGAGCGTGTTCTGCTGACATGGAGCTATAAAGAGATTATACATCCTTGTTATGAAAGGAAGCCTAACTATTTGTAAGACAGAGCTAAGTCATGACATGCATGTCCAGCAGAACACTGTCCGATCATCTCTGCAACCTGACTGACCCTTCTCTCCTTGTGTTACAGACAGCTCTGACATTGTGGACAAGAAGCTGAAGCTGATCCTGGGTCTGATATGGACGCTCATCCTCCACTACTCCATCTCCATGCCCATGTGGGAGGGAGAGGAACCCACACCCTCCGAGGGGGGACCCACACCCAAACAGAGGCTCCTCAACTGGGTCCAGAGCAAGGTGCCCGACCTGCCCATCAAGAACTTCACCACCGACTGGAACGACGGCAAAGCAATTGGAGCTTTGGTTGATGCCTGCGGCCCAGGTATGTCACTGGAGATATTGTTCATTCAGAGTGTTTGGTATCACAAGCAAAATCATCAAAATGGCTGATTCCGGGAGATATTGACAACATCATAAAATATTTGCTATTAATTAAGGGAAAGAAGTAACAGGTGTATTAAGGTATCACTGTAATATTTTTTCTTTCAATTTTGTTGTATACACTAATTCTTATTGTGTTTGGTCTGTGGTTTGTTAAATTATAATACAGCCTCAGAAAATAAGTTGACATGTTATAAAAAGATAACTTGGCAGACATTTTTAACAAGGTATAGAATATTTTGCATATAATATATGTGTCAAGATGTGCTACAGTTAGGCAAATGATGCTATTTTTATATTTGTTAGTTTGGTGACTGATGGCAGGCATATAGTACAGTATGATTTCTTTGTACAGGATTGTGCCCTGACTGGGACACCTGGGATCCCAAGAAGGCCAAGGATAATGCCAAGGAGGCCATGGATGCAGCTGAGCAGTGGCTAGATGTACCACAGGTAGGCAGATACAACATGGGGAATAAAACCACATACAACATGTAGAATATATATACAATAGTCACATGACTACTTATTTAGCAAGGTCAGTATTTCACAGATGTCTGCATATTGTTGCATGTTTTAAGAAGATCATTTATGCAGACAATTATCAGATAATATCTTAGTTTACTATTTTGATTAGACTTCCATACAGTGCAGAGCCATAGTGTAGCAGTGTTTTCTGTATCAAGTCTATATGAGGCTAACATCACTATCGTAATCTCATCTCCGCCCCACCGTTCCCCAAACTGCACTTGATCACACACATTTGATCATGTTCCGTAGTTCAGAAAGGTAATTTGAAATTAATGACTCAACATGCATCAGATCATGCTGCAATTGTGCAATATTTTTATGGGGTCATCTTAACACTCAATCGTTTTAACACGCAATCTGTTTTCACATCTAGGCCTGAGCAAATCAGTAAAATACATTAATGGGTTTGTGAATGTGAGGTCAGGAAGTGAGGTTAGGAGGCTGTGCAGACATATTGGTTTAGCGATGTGCTCTGCAGTTCATGTCAGCGTATAATATTTTGAATATCATTTCAGTCATGATGATGGATTGGTATTGATATGGACTGAGTCCCACCCAGGGCAGAATGGCCTGAGGGTATAGAGCACTTTCTGATAAGACACACCCATTGGCAGGGAGCACATTCTTGTTAACAATTTGCAGAGTGAAAATGTAGATGATACGTGTCATTATTAGGATTTAGCTTTTGAAAGAAAAATATTTGGGTATCAAGTGAAGCATTACACTAAATAAAAATGTTATGTTATCAATACTTTTGGTTAGCTTGAATTAAGGAATCTAAAACAAACAAAATATTTTGACACAAATACATTCTGACAAAAATGTAAGAAAATATAACATAAGCAAAAATGATTTATCATAAAAATATTTTGACAAAATTGTAGGTAATAAATAAAATATAATGTAAAGAAAGTTTTATCAGGACAAAATTGTAGTAAGAAAAATACATTTAATCAGGATGAAAAATAAAATCGTATTCCCTGGATGTATAATTATGTTAAGTTATATAACTATGCTCATAATAACTATTCCAAAAGGTTCATCAACCATTGATGGTTACCTCTGTGTTTCCTTGAGACTTGTGAGTTTGGTATGGAGGTGTAGGCGCTGCCAGTGTTACCCGATACTGCAGGTGGCGCCGGAGACCATACAAGACAGGAGCCAGTGTGTTTTGACACTGCCATGCAGCTCCCATAACGGCATCAGCCACCACCATCAAGCTTGGCATAGTGCCCATCTTGGTTCCTAACTTCTTGCCAAGGTCATCCATTTCTGCTGACTTTCAGATTCAAGGTCAATGTAAATTTTTTATCATTAAACCAGTATCTAACTTAAAATCATTTTCAGATGTTGTAGCCAGCTGTATTTATGTTTCCTTTAGAGCATTTATGAGATGATGATAATATGAGTGGGTGCAAAAAACACTGTTTTTGTACATCAACAGTCATTAATTTCTACCTTGTTACCATGGTTACTATAAAGCTGAAAGTACAATTTTGCCTTTTCTGTAGAATTGCTAGGTAATAACAAACAGTATTGCTTTATTTGTACTGGCAGGAATGCTACAATGTTTCTCTGATTCAAACCACATGGATAGGATTGTAAGATAATATGTTGTTCCACAGACTAATTGTCCACAAACATACAGGAATTCGGAGTTAGGCAAGGATGAAGGGAGATAATTACTGCTTGCAGATGTTAGGGTAGAGATGACATGGTTTAGGCGGTAACCTGACGTGCCACATTTACCATGAAATCATGGTGCATATGGGGTGTTTTGTTATGTCTAGGTTTTCAGATTTTTTATAAAAACATGTATGAAATATTTTATTAAGTGAAAAGTCTGCCAAAATCCCTTCTCATCAATCACAAACTATTCTAAACTGTTTTCAAGAGCATACATGTGGGGAGTCAGTTAATGTTTCATATCAAGAATTTGTATCATGTTATAAAGCCAGTGTATCGAGCTAACTGATGTATGTACGTGACAATTCTCGGCATGCAGCATCTGTTAGAAGCTGGCCTGAAGTCCACTTGACGACTTAGACTTGGGAAATGTAAATGGCTGTAGTATGTTACAATGTGTAATGAATATTAAGAGTTCACACCCTGATCAAATCTCACGTTTCCTATCATCGCTTGCAGTAGTGCTAGCTGACATTCAGAAAGCTCCCCGCCCATATCCCACTGCGACACAGGGATCAGTAGCCTTCGTTAAACTTTAGCCATGACTTCAAGTGTGAACATGTCGCATGTACACAGAGCCATGTTTGTTTTGACTGCAATTCAATTTAAATTTAAAATTTAAAATTAGAAATTGTTTTTGTTTTAACAAAAAATTGAACATCGAAGTCTGATAATTATCAGTAATATGGATTATATGAAATATGTCATATTTTGTTACAACAAAGTCTGGATTCTTGTTTTAATTACAATTCTACCCTGACATTGATGAATGTTTGATTCTGATTGGTTAAAAAGAGTTTTCCTTTTTGCTACGGAAAGCCCTTTCTAATATTTAAAGCCTTTTCACAAAAACGGTGCGTATGAATACATAGATATCCTTATGATGAAGTGTGACAATGATGGTGATTCGTTGGACACAATGGGTACACAAGTGTTTATGATTCCAAGAGTCGCAGCCATCGGATAGGATAAACTCTCAGCTGTTCACTGGCTGACTTGGTGTAGCATTTATAATAATTTATATAGTGCAAAGTTCCGGAAAGGTTGCACGCAGGCCCTTTACACATTATTATTACCCAGGCCAATGGATCATTGTGCACTCCATTTTTGTTCTCAGCTCCCTGGGGAGTATACAACCCAAGCTGGCTGTGAGGCATTGACTGATAGTATTCTGACATGCAGTATATCACTGGTTAACTGACCCACCTATACAAGCTGCAATGATAAACCAGGAATATTGCCGAATATGTTCTAAAAGCAACATGCACTCACTCTCTGTTCATCTTTGCTATTGCCGACTTACAAGCCCACCCACTCACTCACTCACTCGCCCATCTCCTTGCAGCTCATCAAGCCCAAGGAGCTGACCAACCCCAAGGTGGACGAGATGAGTATGATGACATACTTGTCTCAGTTCCCCAAGTCCAAGCTTAAGCCCGGAGCTCCCACCCGCCCCCGTGTCAACCCCAACCGCGTGCGGGCTTTCGGCCCCGGTGTGGAGCCTAAGGGTAACCAGGTCGGTGCCCCAGCCCGCTTCACCATTGACACCTACAGCGCTGGCAAGGGTGACGTGGTCGTCATTGTCCTCAACCCCAAGGGCAAACAGGAGACAGTAAGTATAGAATCCTTGGTTAATAATGTTAATAATTGCAATGCTTTTTGCCTAAATTTGGGGGCAATTTCCATGAGAACTATGACCAATTTATGGCCTTTCAATGGTATATTTATTTGTTGATTTTCTATTTCCAATTAAAATTAAAATAAACTTTGACTTTTTGTAGCCTGTAACAAGTGCATATAGTGACAGGATGATGGGTGTTGTGTTTCAGTGTGAGGTGGTGTTCAACAACGACAAGAACCTGACATACTCCTGCTGCTACACACCCACCATGGAGGGACAGTACAGGGTCAGTATGTGGGGTCACACAGGATAGCTGACCATATACACTAAGGCTCATACAGGATAACTGACCATTTACACCCAGGGTCTTACAGGATAATTGACCATATTCCCCAGGGTCATACAGGATAAATGACCATATACATCTTGGGTCATACAGGATACTGACCATATACACCCAGGGTCATACAGGATAATTGACCATATACACCCAGGGTCATACAGGATAATTGACCATATACACCCAGGGTCATACAGGATAACTGACCATATACATCTGGGGTGATACAGAATAACTGACAATATTCCACTGGGTTCATAAAGGAGAACTGACCATATACACCCGTTGTCTTACAGGATAACTGACATTATTCCCCTGAGGTCATTCAGAATAACTTGGCGCGGTCGGGTAGTTTAGTGGTTAAAGCATTAACTCATCACACCGAAGACCCAGGTTCGATTCCACACATGGGTACAATATGTAAAGCCCATTTCTGGTGTCCCCCGCTATGATATTGCTGACATATTGCTAAAAGCGGCGTAAAACCATACTCACTCACTCACTTAGGATATCTGACCATATCCCCCTGTAATTCTGTATGATGAATGACTGACTACAAGTCCCAGGATTTGTGATGGTGCAGGTTGGGTACATTTTCCAGAATGTAGAGATATTGTTGACTGAGATACGTAACTCCCTCACTCACTCTCTGACCTATCTGACCGCCTCCGTGGTCTTGTGGTAGAGCGTCCGCCCGGAGAGCGGAAGGTCCAGGGTTCAATCCCAGGCCACGTCATACAAAAAGACGTTAAAAGATTGTACTTGTTGTTACCCTGTCTGGCGCTCGGCATTAAGGGGCTAAAACAAGGACTGGTCGGCTCGGAGTCAGTATACTGTGTCTGAGTGGGGTATTCATGTTAAACTGCGGCATGGTATCTCAGTGAGCTAGCACTATAAATCGGCATCAGTCCGGACTAGTACAAGCAGCCACACACACACATACACGTGCATGCACGTCGCTATATAAGTGCAATAATCTTGGACGCGACGTTAAACCCAATTTCACCTCCCCTCACCTCACCTCTGACCTATCTGCACAGGTTATTGTAAAGTTCAACACGAAGGAGATCCCCAAGAGCCCATACACTGTCAACGTGGAGGGCCAGGCCGGTGACCCCACTAAGGTGACGGCCAAGGGACCAGGTCTGGAGAAGAGTGGCGTCATCTGTAGCAAGAAGACTTTCTTTGAAGTCTACACCCAAGGTAAGTGTGTTTTTCCTCTATCAGCCACTTCGCCATGTGCTAAGGTTAACAGTTACATCATCAGTGTAAATATGTTAAGACAGCAAGTACTGGTCAACGCACTGATCAGCTGCACCTTGATTTTGGAAGCGCAATTGGAAAATTCTCCTCTTCTATTTAGCGTTCATCTCCTCCAATCTGACCTTAAGGTTTTTGATATCAACTCCTTTAATGAAGGCTTTAATACCATATTTCATATGTAAACATTCATCAAAGATATAATTGTGTTTGTTTTTAGAGTTGACCTGACTGGATGCAATGGTCATAGCACATTGACACATGGCATCAACATCATGCATTTGATCATGTACTAATTCTACCATTTCTTTTGAATAACCTACTAATAGTGAAATCTCCAATAACAAACCAACCCCCTCGTTCCACCGCAGGTGCAGGCAATGGGAAGGTTGACGTTGTCATCCTTGACCCTCATGGCCGCAAGGACACTGTCAAACCAAGCATCCAGGCTGTTCCTGGCAAGCAGGGCGTTTTCCTTGTGGAGTACATCGCCATGGTTTCCGGACTCCATTCCATCAATGTGTTCTTCTCAGGCAACCAGATCCCCAAAAGCCCCTTCGGTGTCAACGTTTCTCCACGTAAGTGACCAGCGAAATTAATGCAGATATCTTTAAGGATTATCATCTAAAATGTTGGTTGTTTGTATGGCGTAGTGTTAGGTGAGTTAGCCCGTCGCATCAACGAGTTTGATTCCTAATGGGTGCTCAACATGAAGCTAGTTGGTTCTTCCTGTTGCTTTGAAAAGAGGTTGGTTGGTTGGTTAGTTGGTTTGTTGTTTAACGCCGCACTCAGCAATATTCCATCTATATGATGGCGGTCTGTAAATAATCGAGTCTGGACCAGACAATCCAGTGATTGATATCATGAGCATCAATCCACGCATTTGGGATCGATGACATGCATCAACCGAGTCAGCGAGCCTGACCACCCGATCCCATTAGTCGCCTTTTATGACAAGCATAGTCACCTTTTACGGCAAGCATGGGTTGCTGAAGACCTATTCTACCCCGGACCTTCACGGGTCTTGAAAAGAAGTGTTACACCTGATTCCCTCGTGGGGATTCTGGGGTAAGGATTCCTACTAACAAGTCCTGGTCAGGCGTTCAAATGGACAGCATGGTCAGACTTTGTAAATTGGTTAATTGCATGTCATCGTACCCTGTTGGCGTGGATCGTTGTTCACAACAATAATAATCACTGGATTGTCTGGTCCAGACTATTTTATTTATAGGCCGCCTTCATATAGCGGGAATATTTCTGAGTATGGCTTTAAAAAACGAACAAACAAGCAAACAAGCAGTCTAAAATCATGATTAGGATAGACAGATATTTCATGATAGGAATGATATAAGTCATATTGATAAGATTGTCTCTTTTATTGGCAGTTAGGGAACAATTTTCCACAGTAATCTGAAAATTAGGAATCTTCACAAGACTCAGTCTATACTCAAAACCATCAAAGTTCTTCTCAGTAAAATTATACCAATTTGATACAGCATCTCTTCCTGTGGATTATCAAGTTTTTCTTGTTCCAGCCTCAAATGCAAAGATATGCTATGCTTCCGGGCGTGGCATCCAGCCCCGAGGTATTCGGGTGCGCGATCAGGCTGACTTCAAGGTCCACACTACCGGTGCCGGCGAAGCCACTGTCAAAGTCCAGGTGATTGGACCCGGCGGCATCGATGTCCCATGTAAGGTGGTCATGTCGACCACAGAGGAAGGAGTTTACAACTGTGTGTACTCGCCAACCAAACCAGGCAACTACGTGATCAACGTGACATTCGGAGATGTTCACATCACCAAGAGCCCCTTCAAGGTGGAGGTGGGACCTTTCATTGAGTCCAAGATTCGGGCCTACGGACCCGGTCTGGAGGCTGGAGTAGTAGGGCAACCTGCTGTCTTCACTGTGGAAACCAACGGCGAGGTCGGAGCTCTCGGTGAGATCATTTTGTCTTACTAATGAGTCAGTGTTATCTTAAAGTGGCATTTTGGAAACTGTAGAGTTGACATGGATATCCACTTGAAATTGCATTGGAAGAATGAGTTAAAACTCATCTCTGTCTTCATCAGTAAACATCATTTTGTTTAGGGATCACCGACATCTCATTGTATGATCTTGTTACAAAACCTTGGGTGGTCGTAATGAAAATAAGCTAATGTTTAGATCATGATAGCTTAATAAGAGTTGTTTCAAAAGTGTTTGATGGGAGTCAAAACATTTTTTGCTACTTCCACTACCTGTAACCTGTTTTGGCGTTTCTCATTACTGAGGAATAGAAACATATTGATTTAAAGAGGTTATTATGTCCATTGTGATGTGACTAAAAATCAGTAGTTAACACTATTTGGAAACTCTGTCATGGTTAGCACACAGATGGTCGTTCTCAGTTTGCATTCATTGATATGGATCCTTGTATCCCTGGCAGGCTTCTCCATCGAGGGTCCATCTCAGGCCAAGATTGACTGCAAGGACAATGGTGATGGGTCAGCTGACGTGACCTACTGGCCCACCACAGCGGGAGAATACGCTGTGCATATTCTGTGTAACGAGCAGGACATCCCAAAATCACCCTACATGGCCCAGATTATACCCTCAGGAGAATTCGATGCTTCAAAGGTATATAGGATTCAGTTTTGAGTTAGTCCAATGGTAATAGTTCTTCACTGTGCTGAGACCCCCTCCGTGGTCTAGTGGTAGAGCGTCCGCCCGGAGAGTGGAAGGTCCGGGGTTCGATCCCCGACCGCGTCATACCAAAAGATGTTAAAAGATGGTACTTGTTGTTACCCTGTCTGGCGCTCGGCATTAAGGGGCTAAAACAAGGACTGATCGGCTCGGAGTCAGTATACTGTGTCTGAGTGGGGTATTCATGTTAAACTGCGGCATGGTATCTCAGTGAGTTAGCACTATAAATCGGCATCAGTCTGGACTAGTACAAGCAGCCACACACACACACATACACGTGCATGCACGTCGCTATATCAGTGCAATAATCTTGGACGCGACGTTAAACCCCATTTCACCTCACCTCACTGTGCTGAAGAGGACCCATGTTCTATTCCTTACATGGGTATGGTTAACGATGCCTTCTCATTGGGTCAACCTCAGTATTTTTTCACCAGTTCAAATGTTGAAAGAGTTGAGTTGAGCCTGTGCAGACAATATTGACAAGCCTAAATGTGAGAGTGTTGACCAACCCTAAATAAAAGCTAAAAATGGTTGGGAAAAGATCTCTTTTCATTGTCAGTGGAGGGGCTTGTGACATGTCTTTTTGATTTGTATTCTTGTTCATAAAAGAGACTGGGGAGAGGAAATTAATTGCTTGACTGTACTTGACATAAGATATATATTAGTATACTTTCTACTAGCAAGGACATGTTAGCCAGTCTTCTCATCAGGTGTGTTAATCATGTTCCCTTACTCACTCCACTATCTTCTTCTGCCAGGTTATTGCCAAGGGTCCTGGACTTCAGAAGACAGGAGTGACCACTGGCAAGAAGGCGGAGTTCACTGTGGACACTCGGTCCGCTGGCCGCACCCCCCAGCCTCTCAAGATCTCCTGCCTAGACGTGGACCTCAAGCCTGTGGAAGTGCAAATCACTGACAACAAGAATGGCACCTACAACTGCAGCTACATGCCCAAGCGCAACGTCAAACACACCATTATGATCACCTACGGCAGCGTCAACATTCCTAACAGCCCCTACCGAGTGAGTTGGTGACATCTTCACATTCCCAGGATATCTGGAATGGGATGATTTAGACATGATCAAGAACTTTTGTCATTTTGGAAAAGTGGTGACAAATTTCAGTAAATGCAAAGACACTGCATGGTTTTACATATAGACATGCTTGTAATAAAATGTCAAGTATCTGATCGCATTAACATTGACATTTGGAATGTTTCTAAATGAGAAAAAATATTCTTCCAGGACCATCAAGTCACTTTCAATTCCCTATATGAGTACAATGTGTGAAGCCCATTTCTGGTTGGATATTGCTGAAAACGGTGTCACTCAATCACTTTAAACATTGACAGTGGTTGTAGAAGCTGAGATTTCTGTGTCAAGTGTTATGAACAGTAAAGTATTAATTGTTTGTTTCTCTTTCCAGGTATATGTATCGGAGCCAAGCACCCCTTCCAATGTGAAGGTCTTCGGCCCTGGTGTAGAGAAGGGAGTCAAAACTGGCAAACTTACCTACTTCAAGGTGGACTGCTCCAAGGCTGGACCAGGTAGGCATACAAATAGAGACAGTACAATATATATCAAGGGAGGATAGGTTTTGTTGTCTTCTTTTTAGAAAAGGGACAGTAATCACGATTTTTTTTCCATCTTTTTTTCCATTTTGGCAAATATTGAAAAAGGAATTTGCTATATAAGAAAATAGTCTTGTTGAAAAAGTTTGGAACCTGATATGTTACCAGATTTCTCCCTGCGGTGCCTTGGAATCACTAAGAGCATGTGTTTATTGTAGGCGATGTTGCTATTGCTCTGACCGATGCCAATGGACGTGATGTCCCAGTCAAGACCACTGACAATGGCGATGGTACTTTCACCGTGGAGTACGAACCCAAATCCCCCGGACAGTACACCGTCCAGGTCTACTTCGCTGAGAAGCCCATCCCTCAGAGCCCTATCAAGGTCAATGTGGAATCCAGCATCGATGTCAGCAAGGTCAAGGTCGTTGGATTAGAGCCAAGTGAGTATAGCCTCAACCCTTTCATTAAGTATGTGTAGAGCTAGCTCAATAAGTTGAGAAATGTTTTGTTACCATGCTTACTGATATTTTGTGTATAAAATAGGACTGTTCACAGGGTAGATGAATACCGGTATGTTTAAATATAACAACAGTAATTTCCCCTGTTTGGATGCCACAAGCTAACAAATGGTACCAAAGGAGTATTGGGTGGTTATGATGTGTCACCTGGTAGTCTGTTTGTGGATAGACCCAGTTGGGGGCCACTCATTGCTCATGCCATCAACCACTGGTTTTCCTGTCCCAGATTAGATTATTTACAGGCCATTGTGATAAAGCTGGAATACTGCTGACCATGGTATAAAACAACTTCAATAGATGTCTATTGTAGGCAGGTCCTATGATTAGTTGAGGATGCATTTGATCTTAGTTCTACATGTCATCATGTCAGTTGGATAATACTTGTGTTAGACAGGCAGAAAAACACAGTTAATGTATACAATCTATATCGATGACAACTTTTCTCCTCCTCAAAGAAATGCCAATTGGTGTGACCTCCGAGATTGGCATCATCAGCGCAGGCCTCCCCAAGGCCAATGCAACAGTAACGGTAACATCCCCCACTGGAAAGACCCGGGACATGCCTGTCACGGAAACCATTGACGGTCACGCCGCCAAGGTGTCCTTCAACGAACCTGGCCCTCACAAGGTTGATGTCACCTATGGTGGTGCTCCTGTTCCCAAGTCACCTTTCAAGGTCGAGGCTTTCCGACCTCCCAAGGTCATTGCCTATGGTCCTGGTTTGAAGGGTGGCGAGGCATTAAAGCCTGCTACGTTCACTATTGATACTAGAGAAGCCAAGACCCCAGGAGGAATTGGTGTCACTGTAGAAGGCCCAGGAGAATCCAAAATTGAATGTAAGGACAATGGAGACGGCACCTGCGGTGTTGCCTACTTGCCACCACAGGAGGGAACATACAAGGTTAATGTTACCTATGGCAACCAGCATATCCCGATGTCGCCGTTCACGGCCCAGATTGGCCCCAGTACCGGCCCCCCACCAGGACCTGCCGTCAAGAAGCCTGACCTGAAGGGCGTCACTGCTTATGGCCCTGGACTTTCACCCGATGGTAAACTTTGCATGGAGTGACTGGTCTTTAGCGCCAAGGATCGTCCGCTACCCATGATGCATCACTCACAATGACTAAACACGTGGTGCACCTTGATCATTCACTAACAACACCAGGAAAAGATAACTCTTCATCATGTTGGAGATGCATGTCATGTCCTTAAACACATTTTTTCACTCTTTTTTCCGTCATCACTCCTCATATTATGTTTCTTGCATCAACTCTGACTTTTTTCCAGGACCTTTAACCATTTATCATTGTTACCATTTGTTACTAATATGGTTGTTTGTTTTTTGTTTTGTCATCAATTTTCATTTTTCAATTGATCTTGTTTCCTAACAACTAGTCTTATAAATGGGCTTGGGTTTAGATTACAAGAATAGATACAAGCCTTGATTAAACCTTTTCAGCTTTAGTTTTTTGTCTTTAGATGCTATTGAGAGGGTTATTCAGTTGTTCACAGCCAGAATTAGTGTAGATTGTTATGGATAAGATTCTCAGTGCAGTTGCTTCTTGCCCAGAATGTTTTCATTTTTCCTGTCACTAATGAATGTTGTCCTAACTAAAACTGGAATGTTTCTTCTCACATGCTGAGAATAGCATGAATGTTTGATTATCAGCTTTTAGCACAATGTACACAGTGGTAGGAATAGGATGTCAGGGGTAACACTTGAAATAATTCTGTCTGTCGGACATTGCTTGATGTCATGTTGCTCTCCTAGGGTCATATATGTAGATTTAAGAAGGGGTCGCTTTCTTTCTCTGATGTCTCGTGTGCTTCATCCCTGATTATCCAGTGTTTTGTATATTCTATTGTGATATATACCCTGAAACCATTCATATACCCAGCTTCGTTTTGAACCTGATTTGAATTACACAACACAAAAAATAGCTGTCCAATCAAATAAAGCTCCCCAAAGTCAGTGCTATGTTGGTGATAAGATTGACAGTGACCTTACTTTCAAAACAATGGTCGCAAATGGAGTCAGGGTATGTATAGAATGGACAAGGGCGGAAACCAGCATTTTTAAAAGGGAGGGGTAAAAAATATCAAAATCTGGACCCCTTGGATACGCCCTTTGGATCTGCCGATGATGGAGATACAGTATACTGTATTATTGAGGATGCATTTGCTTGTGTTATGTAAGATATACAGATGTGTACAAGTCATTGAGTTTGGGTAAAATGATCTTGAACATTTCAAAGTCAATGTCATAATTTCTGTTCTATGTTGCCTTCTCCAGGCAAATCACTTTTCCGTGTCCACTTGTGTCGTCATGTTCAGATCTTGTAACGTTGTTCATGTTTCATCTGTCTGACCATCACATGTCTGTGCCCACTCCATATATGGTCAGTCTGACAAAGAACAGCACTAACATTCACTTGACTACTTTCCAGGAGTGTTCATCGAGTCCCCAACCGAGTTCACTGTGGACGCCAAGTCTGTCAGCCCAGTCGGACAGGGAAAAGTGAGGGCTATCCTCACCAACCCCTCCGGCACCCTCAATGACACCGCTGTCCGCAACAACGGCGATGGGACCTACAATGTTCAGTACACACCATTTGAAGAAGGTATGTCCTGGGGAAAATGTTGGAGGATTTTACAGCAACTTCATGAGGTCTTGCATCTATTTGTGTCTTTAAAACAAGAGTTGCCTCCCATTGACAATCATTACTTTTGGAACAATTACATGAAGATTAAATAACACAAATGTGTATTGGTTTATTATTATTTGCTTTAACCATTTGCTGTGTTTCATAATATCGTAAAGTTATTACTGCTATACAGATATCTTCACTTGACCTATCATGTCTTCTGAAGTCCACGTGTATAGCAAGAGCAATGAACAGTAAAACATGATTGACTGACCATGGTGCTTGTTGGACAGGTCCAGTGTCACTTGATGTCACCTATGATGAGGCCCCCATTCCTCAGTCTCCCTTCAAAGTTCAGGCTGTTCCTGGCAACGACCCCAACAGAGTCAAGGCCTATGGACCAGGTAACACATGCTTCAAAAATCACGCTCAAATACTAGCTATTTGTAGTAACAATACAGTAAACCACGGTTATAACAAACTTGAAGGGACCACTAATTTTAGTTCGTAATAACCGTAGTTCGTTAAAAGCGTATATACGACATTTATACAACAAATGGTCAGGACTGAAAAATAAGCTCGTTATATCAGTCAGTTCGTTATATGCGTGTTCGTTATAACCGTAGTTTACTGTACTTACATTGTTGATATTGAGATATTGTCAGACATTATTCCTAATCAGTAAGCCCTGCCCATATGATTCAATTACGTTTGTGACCCATGAAGATCCGGGGTAGAATAGGTCTTCAGCAACCATGCTTCCCGTAAAAGCCGACTATGCTTGTCGTAAGTGGCGACTAACGGATCGGCTGGTCAGGCTCACTGACCTGGTTGATGCATGTCATGGTATCCCAATGGCATGGATTGATGCTCATGATGTCAATCCCGGAATTGTATGATCCAGACCGCCATCATATAGCTGGAATATAGCACAACAAACAAACAAACAATTACATTTGTATTCTTTATGATAGCTCTGTGCCATGTAAAAATAATGTTAACAGTTGTACCTATAAATAATGTCTCCCCATTTCTTCTCTGTGAAGGTGTGTAGTTACATGGTATTTAAACATTTGTAACAGCTGTGTGCTAAAACAAGTGTATACCTCTATACCTCCCTATTTTTCATATCTGTAACAGCCATATCTCCCCATTTCTTCTCTGTGAAGGTGTGTAGTTACATGGTATTTAAACATTTGTAACAGCTGTGTGCTAAAACAAGTGTATACCTCTATACCTCCCTATTTTTCATATCTGTAACAGCCATATCTCCCCATTTCTTCTCTGTGAAGGTGTGTAGTTACATGGTATTTAAACATTTGTAACAGCTGTGTGCTAAAACAAGTGTATACCTCTATACCTCCCTATTTTTCATATCTGTAACAGCCATGTATTATATGATTGAGTGTTAAACCAACATATCGCCTACTTCCAGGTCTGGAGGGCGGAGTCACCAACCTGCCCGCCGAGTTCACCGTGGACATGCGTGGTGCTGGTAAGGGAGGCCTCGGCCTTGCTATTGAAGGCCCAGTGGAGGCCCAGATGAACTGCCAGGACAACCGTGATGGCACATGCAACGTCCAGTACCAGCCGACCAAGGCCGGAGACTACGACATCGCTGTCAAGTTCGCAGACAAAGATATCCCTGGTACGATGGACTTTCTGTTTTGTTTCTGATACTATACGATACGGTTGACATACAAATTCCATGATTGAATTATGTTTTTGAATTTGTAGTTGAAAAACATTTTGGGGTTGTTGTGCCTGAAGATATTCTTAATTGCAGAGTAATATACATATACATATCTAATTTCTGAACATTTCACCTTATACCTCTTGAAATATGCGTTATCACAAACATACAAACAGAAAGGTTTTCTTCAAAGCAGCTTTTCAGTCAAACAGAGCTTTCTTGTCTTTTTGTACTTTTGGACTGAAATGATTTCGTAAGTAAACTTTCAAGTATTGGTGTTTCCAAATACATAGTATCAGTGTTTTCCATGATCAGTATTTGATTTTCCCATGATGTATTGCAGGCAGTCCATTCCGTGTCAGCGTGTGCGACCCTGTTGATGCCAGCAAGGTCAAGTGCTATGGCCCTGGCATCGACACGAAGGGAGTGCGTGCAGGAGAGCCCGCAACTTTCACCATCGACGCCAAGGATGCTGGCAAGGCACCTGTGGATGTCACATACACCGATCAAAATGGTAAGGAGTCAAAACGCAACTGAAACACTGAATGAATTAGTCAAGGAAAGATTTATCTTAAAACTCAACACTTTTCAACCATCATGGATATCCATACACATATCTTGGGGCACGGGTGGCCCAGTCGTCTTAGGCGCCGTGATTCACTGTGCAGAGTTTCGTCCCCTGGGCACGCCAGGAACCTATGATTGTGTATTCGAATCCCGGTTCGCCCCGATTATGTTTCTAGGTTTGTCAGCACCATACCTACATCTAAGACCTGCATCACTTGGGGCTTTCCTCCCACATTAAGCTGACACGCTATGATATGACTGGAATAATGTTAAAAGCCGCGTTAAACACAACTCACTCACTCATAACCATATCTGGGTCACTTGAGACAGTCCAAACTTAAAGTGACAAACTCATCAAGATCCCTGTACAACATCAGTGAAGGACTATGATTGTATCAGATGTGTATTGGGTGAGCGTGTCCTGCTCTGTGGATGTAATATCAACATTTTCACAAACCTCTATCACTCCAACACAGAGCAAAGACACACATCATCAAGTAGTGTTTGCCAAGGGAGGTAACTCCAGTGCACCAGCATGACTTGTTCATATGCATCGTAAAACTAAATGAACAATCATGGAACACTCTGTCAGTGCTGTAGTCGAATGTAGCAACAGTTTTCAACCAAATGTCAATGATCTATCAGCATATAGAAGCATCATGAAGCTTTGTCAACACTGCACTGACACTGTTTTTTCTCTTCCTTTCAGGCAAACCCCAAAAGGCAAAGATCGTGCCCGTGGAAGAGGGTGTGTTCAATGCCACATACGTCCCTGCTGATGAGGGCAAATGCAAGGTTGATGTCAAATATGGAGGACAGAATGTGCCAAACAGGTGAAGACACTTTGCGAAAACAGAAACAATGATTTGGGAGTCTTTTGTAATTAATGTAATGGTGATTGCCTTGTTTGACTTGAACTGGTCAGAAAAGGCATCACTAAATTTTAACTGAAATTAGATTTGAAGATTTTGCTTGGAATCAGGTTTTCTGGGATTGTAGAATAAGGGGAGATAACTTGTGTGACGCTATCGACTCCATTCGACCAGTTTCATATGATATGAAACAGTCATGGATAATATTGCTTTGATGAATTGTTTTCATCATTGATAATTCGTAAATGTCACTATTCTGATACTTCAGTACTTCTTGATTATTTGTTGAAGCTTGGTCATCGCCTTATGCTTTTACTCTATGCTGTTGCAGTCCATTCAACATGAATGTGCTACCTGGTGTTGATGCAAGCAAGGTGAAGGTCACAGGAGCAGGTGTCAGTAACGCCGTCCCAGCAAGTTTGCCTGTGACCTTTGACATTGACACAAGAGAGGCAGGAGTTGCTGATCTGGAGGCCTATGTGCAGGTTAGTGTAAATCCGGAAATATAATTGTAATGTTTATGCTAGGAACCTGTAATGACTCTCACAGGTTTTCTTTATTAGGAAACATTTCATGACTTTGTCATTTTGTAATCACTAACACACGTCTAATCACATATGTTGACACTATTGATCACTGTTTAGCTTTATCAATGACCAATGACTTGTCTCGTGTTGCTTGCTGCATGATGGGGTTTCTGGGACAAATCAGGCTCCCAGTACCCAAAACTTGTTGTAAGAGCCCACTATGATTGATAAGGGCCGGTCTTCTCATGTCAGCATGACATGATTGTGTGTAAACTTGCTCATACTATCAACCACCAGTTGTACCCCCCTTAATGATCCGGGTTAGAATTGGTCTACAGCCACCCTTGTAAGAGGCAATTAACGGGATCAGGTGGTCAGGCTCGCTGGCTTGGTTGATGCATGTCATTGCATCCAAATTGTGTAGATCGATGCTCATGATGTCAATCACTGGATTGTCTTGTCCTTACTCGATTATTATATAGACCACCATCATGTAGCTGGAATATTGCTGATTGCCGACTGTTAACAAACTGTTAAAACAAGCACCTAGCTAAATTAAGTATGTTCTATCCCTCAGCGCCCTGATGGAACCTACATCCGCCCAATGGTGTTGGAGAATGACGATGGTACCTTCTCCGTTACCTACACCCCTGAAGACCTTGGCGTCTACAATATCAAGGTCAAGTACGGGGGACAGGAAGTGCCCCACTCACCTTTCAATGTCAAGGCCATACCAACAGGCGATGCCACCAAGTGCCGCATCACAGGTTTGTTCTGTTACAGACATTTGAAAATATGTTCTGCTTCAAAATGTAAATAAAACATATATATGTATAATTACATGAGTGTATGAGTGAATTCTAATACAGAAGTTTATATACAGTCAGTAAGATACACCTGTGCAGATCTGGGTTAGAATAAGTCTTGAGCAAACCCATACTTGTCTCACGAGGCGACTAACGGGATTGGGTGGTCATGGTCGCTGACTTGGATGATGCATGTCATCATATTCCAATTGTGTAGTGTGATGCTCATGATGTCAATCACTGGTTAATTGATTAATGAGTATGGAACTAAGTCATTATCTCAATGAAAATACTTTTCAGTTGAACTAAAAAACTTATTATGCTGTATTGTGTGTTGTAGAGGGTGCTGAGAAATGTGTTCCCGTCAACAAGGAAACTGTCATCACCGTCGATGCTGCACAGGCCGGCACCGGTAAGGTGACATGCCGTATCCGCAGTCCAAGTGGCAGTGACATCGACATCGACATCATTGACAACAGTGACGGCACCTTCAGCATCTGCTTCACGCCACAGTTCGCTGGTGACTACACCATCAGCATCAAGTTCGGTGGACAGGAGATCCCCCAGGGCGACTACACCATCCAGGTAGGGGAGACAACTCTTGTAACTTCCAAGGATAACATTACACGCAGTCCAGTTTGTGTTGGTTTCAGAATATAGGTCTGCTTGTTTGGCATGATTTCATAGAAATAAAAACAGTGATACATTTTTTAAAGATTATTTGACAAGGCTAAATTTAACATGTGTTTATTTTGAGCCATGTACTGTTGAACGAAAACTAATTAACACTTAAAAGAACAGAGGTTCTAAAACTGGGGGAAAAAATTCTTTGCTTGTGGAAATGTTTATACTGTTGTTACTTTGTGGCTCAAAGATACACTCGCAGCAGGTTTAGATTTGGCCTTGACGGATTGTTTACGTGTGTTGTTCATTGTGCAGGGATACTGATGTAGGCTCGGTAAGTCTGTACCAGGAGCAGACGTAGAGGTTAGCCAAGTGTGTTACCTTATCGTAAATATCATATTTAGGAATATAAATTGCATGATACCATTTTTCTTCCAATATATGATATTTGTGACATGCAACACATGATGGTAATAATCTCATATAATGTCATTCTTAAATTAAGGGGTGCTCGTGTATTTTCGCTCCATGAAGTAGCTTTCGAAAATGTATGAATACATTGTTTGAGTAAACTACATAATTTATCATTCAGTGCCAAATGACTCGCAGCCATGTTTTCTACAGAAAAACTGTGACACATTGGGATACCCCTATCTAAGCATACTGGGAATGTTAGTCAATAGTTAATTGATAAGTAAGTCATTGGAGACTTTACTTGTGCTTTCCGACATTATGCGTATTTCGCATACATTAATTGATAAAGTAGGCTTTGCATGGATGTATGGTGTATAACAATACTTCCTGATTTATAACAATACAACCTCATTTGCATATTTATCAGATCCTGATATCGGGGTTTCATGTATTGGTTTATTGCATCAATGACACTTTTCATTATATGAAAAGTCATTGTCAGGAAGATGTTATGACATTAGTAAATAATCAGTTCTTGACAAAAGGACATAAATTGTGGCCACTCAAACCTCGATGACTCAGACTCCTTTTACGTTTGTTAATCGAGTCCACTGTATCATCCTAGCTGATCTCTCCTTCTGAATATCACGCCGAAGACCCGGGTTCGATTCCTGACATGGGTATAATGTGTGAAGCCCATTTCTGGGGTCCCCCGTCGTGATATTGCTGGAATATTGCTAAAAGCGACGTAAAACCATACTCACTCACTCACTCACTCTCCTTCTGAATATCTTAATAAGATCATCATACTTATCCTTTATTACTGACTATTGACACCACATTGTAAAATGAAGCTACCAGTTTAACTGTTAAATTCATTTTCAAATTTGCATTAATTATTGTGAAATAGCATTCCACATCAAGACGATTTTATTTCTAATGTACAGAAATGTCAGAAATGAGCTTCCATTCATTACCATGAACATATACATGTAAAATTGTTACCATGGCTTCATAAATTATGTTTTTGAGTAGTTAAATGCAATTCATTCAGAGTTTCAAATGAGTTTTGAAATGATACTGGTATTCCTAAAGAGATGTATATTTACAGCAAATGGTTATTATATTGTAGATTTGATATGGAAATCCTGAAAACAGAATTTCATTCTATAAGCAGATACAAATTCTACACTAGGTCTTTGAAAGCATCTGATTAACTGCTGTGAATGAGTTTAATGGAAGATAGTATGTTCACCTGCCTCTGGTGTGTATGTTCGTCAGGAAAGCAGTATCCTGTATTCACAATGTTGACTACTTAAAACCTTCGAGGCTTCACTGCAACTGATAATGTTAACTTAATTAGACAAGATGTTATCTGGAAGCATTGGAAGCAAGCCATCCTCTGGGTAATCAAGGGAGGGAGGAATCCGCTGGCCTAACCTCCATTACAAGATGTTTGGCTGAAAGCAGATCAAGTCATATTTTACACTTCTCACTTCATAAATAAACCTTTAAGAATGTGCTGAAGTACTAGTTGGGATATTTATAGCATTGGGAAGATGAAAAAGCGTTTATTTGAAGGACATTCCAATTGTTTGGAAGGCGTAACTGTTTTGATGGGTGTTGAGTAAAGTTTTATTGTTGGAAGTCAACAAAGATTGTGGCACTGGCTCAACATGAGTATAAACAAGACACTGAACAAGTTACTTTAACCTGCATCAGATCTACATGTATATCACTCTGCCAGGTTTGTATAATATATAAACCAATCCTCCTGCTTTTACTTACTTTAGGTGTGCAACTGTATATGATGTTATAAACACTTCTGACACGCAGGTTATTAAAGCTTTTCTGAGATTCTGTATAATATTGTTAAAACATCCTGGCTCGTTCACTTCCAGTCCTGGCATTGGTTCCAACTTTTACAAGTAACTGTGATCCTACCCTCACTGCTGATAACTGTAGATGTATTGAGTCTGGTGTGGTTATAAGTGCAGCTGTATTGAGTCTGGTTATAAGTGCAGCTGTATTGAGTCTGGTTATAAGTGCAGCTGTATTGAGTCTGGTTATAAGTGCAGCTGTATTGAGTCTGGTTATAACTGTAGATGTATTGAGTCTGGTTATAACTGTAGCTGTATTGAGTCTGGTTATAAATGCAGCTGTATTGAGTCTGGTTATAAATGCAGCTGTATTGAGTCTGGTTATAACTGTAGCTGTATTGAGTCTGGTTATAAATTCAGCTGTATTGAGTCTGGTTATAAGTGCAGCTGTATTGAGTCTGGTTATAACTGTAGCTGTATTGAGTCTGGTTATAAATGCAGCTGTATTGAGTCTGGTTATAAATGCAGCTGTATTAAGTCTGGTTATAAATGCAGCTGTATTGAGTCTGGTTATAAATGCATCTGTATTGAGTCTGGTTATAAATGCAGCTGTATTGAGTCTGGTTATAAATGTAGCTGTATTGAGTCTGGTTATAACTGTAGCTGTATTGAGTCTAGCTGTCACTGCCTGGTTATGACTGTATCTGTATTGAGACTAGTTGTAACTGTCTGGTTATGACTGTATCTGTATTGAGACTTGTTGTAACTGTCTGTCGTGGAATCTGTGGACTGTGGCTGGGTACCGAGTCTCTGGGCTAGGTCATGTTGGTCTGTGCAGCCATTCAGTTACAGTTAAATGCAGTAAGCAGCTGTGGAACCATTAACGGTGAAGCAAGCCTTGATACGGCTGCAAGGTGGCGAATGTCAAGTCTACACATAACAATTACCATTAATAATAATTCCACCATATTTCCTTTATGATAAGTAAAGGAAGTCTGTCTGGCCCAACAATTTAAAACAACAACCATTTCTTGTTTACTGCGCCCTAAACATTGGTATCCAAATCTATATCTAGTGACAACACAGGAAACTATTCAGATCATCTGAACTTTTTTTGTAAGCGGGGATATTTTTCAGGCATTGCATGCGGACTTCCTCCACGAGTTGATGCAGTTGGTGAAGGTGTAGTCATGCTGCTGTTGTTGATTCACATTAGTCATGTGATTAGTCATGTGACCTCAGTGAAAACGAGACAGCACATGTTTGTGGCAGACTCCTGAAAAACTATTTCATGTTGCGTGTAATTGCTCAGGAGGAAAAAGCTATTTATCTTTTCAAATTTTCGAAATAACTTGAAGCTGGTGTAAATGGTGACCGCAGCATCCTGGCTGTGTGGATGTCTGTTGGTAGAGTGGGGTGCAGGAAGTATGGGACTAGAACATGCATCAGTGAGACATATGGGGGTGGGTGGAGGGGGTGGGGGGAGGCCCTCAGACGGGCGCCAAGCATGATGTCATGCAAAGGAATGTCATTGTCTTGAACTGCTAAGGACAGACTACCCAAACAAGATCACATCTAGCTACACTGGGAAAAGCAATTGCCATCCTTTAACATTTACCGTATTTTCTTGAGTATAGTGCGCACCCATGTATAATGCGCACCCCCCTCTAGCGGATTCAATATTTTGGAAAAAAAGAAATTTGAATATTATGCGCAGAAATTTTTTACACCATACCCCTTCAGCGAAGTCCGGCAAACGAACGGGTGATGAGAAACTTTGTCAGTACAAATTCACCAGACATGTTGATTTACCGTTTAAATTGTATTTTTTGTTCAGCTAGGCATTGTTTTATATCCAGGGATTAAGATTACCTTGTGTATTTTCTCGTAAACTAAGCCGGACACAGCAATCAGCTGTACACACATTTTCTTGGAATCTACCGGTGATTCGGTCAAGACACACCCAATGATATAACTTTACAGTATTTTAATGCAAGGATCGGCAAAGTTGTACCTGAAACCATTTTTTTATCAGGAATAATATATTCCAATATCTTGTTAATTTAGATGCAGATGGTAGATGGAATATAAATGACTTTTCTCTTTTGTCTTCATTGATTTAAAAACTGTAGCGCAGACCAGACTACATCTACAATTGTTTTACTTTATTTTGTAATTGATGCAGATGGGAAAATCTATTTAATAGAATAAAATAACTGTCTGGAAATGATCTTTCAATTAGTTTCACATTTTCCTTTCGTAATTTGTAAATTTGTTTTGAGTCTGTGTCTTAATTTCTGGATTTGTTTGAAAACAGAAGATATAAACACAATTACTCCAGCGTAAGAAATAATTTGCATTTCTCTAGATTAGAATAAAATTTAAGAAGTCAACTCGGGGCAGCTTAGAGAAAATCAGGCTTAATGAGGTGAAAGCACTTTTTTGTCTAATCCAATCAGAGCATCTGAACAGCTAGCTTGAGCAGAGTCAGCTCGCACATGCAAGTAATTTCCTCTTCTCAAGTTGTACGTCCCTACTCCCCTACACTGTCTGCTGTAGCTTGGCCACTGCCCCTCTCTTGAAGTCAAACACTCGAGAGGAAAGCTGTACCTCACTTGCTGGAAATGTTTTGTTTGTTCACATCAGAGCACATGAGAGATCTGGCTAAGAATGAAAATTAAACCATTTTTTAAAGAAGTTAGATTTGAAGGTTGGTGTCAATAATGT